TGATATCTAACAGTCTCCAGTTATAACATTCGAAAGTGTATATCCTATTCACGCATCCAAAATATTTTGTAGTATAGACAACTATGCGATATCGTGGGTAGCGGTAACGAGAATTGGGGGTTACATTCGACCCAAAGTGAACATTTCATCAACGTATAGCGAATACATATTACTTGCAAGGTAGATATTTAAAGGGTTGGATGTGTGTTAGGAATTCGAAAAAATTATCAAAGTGTACAACGCTTTATTAGGTGATGTGTATGTTAAAATTTCTTCATGTCAGTCGGATTCGGTCGTTCCAATTTCGCAGATACTGCTGTATGAATTACCTGGTCGCCCAGTATGACCGACTTTTCGGGGCCAGCACTTAAAGCAATAAATTAGATGCCATCCCACAACTCATCACCGAAAATTACTTCAAGAGGTCACAAAAACTAGATTTAGAAACAAAATTTAGTTGCATGTATTTCCACAAATAATTTTTAAAGCACACACTCGGTTTGCCCAAATTACAGGAGACTCTACATTTACTGGGTTCGTAAACACAAGTAACAAAATTTAAAAACTATTTCAATTTCTAATACTACCTAAATTAAATCTAACCGAATCAAACAGCTCATACGGCAATAAAAAAACTTACTTTTCAAACATTTAAACGTTATGCGGACTTCTTTTTGTTAAATCCAGATGTTATCTTGTTAGTGGCTGGCTGGACGTTCTTCAGTGGATTTAATTCCAAAAAGAGAACGATGTGAGTCTAGATTCAATTTTATAACGATGAACATAACTGACGTAAGACTATACCTGTACGTGACACACACTTTTTAAATTTACAAAACTCTGACTACGTACTTTTGATTCAAAACTGTGATAGAAACTCAACGTCCTCGAGCGTAAAACTCGAGCGCCAAACCAAAAAAGCTCGTCTTCCAACATTTTTTTATAAGCAAACGTTCACTCGAAACACTTCAACAAGAAGTCCACAATTCAAGGTTTTGGTGACTGCCAGTACTCTACTTATAATAGCCGAGTTGAGTTCATTACACCACTCATTTAACACTTGAGTAAACCCCTCCCAACAAACTTTATTTTTTATAATTAAAGAAAATTGAATCTCAATAGTCCAGCTGGGTTCAGAAACGCTGGAAAATCTTGGCAATGACTTTTATCAAAATATTGAAGTTCCATAAATACGTAAACCAAATGAAACAACACTATTAAATTTTTACTTACACTGGAAATGACCATCGGTTCCGGAAATAAGAGAAATTTTCTTTGAACAAACAAAAAAAACTTTATGTGGATTTTCTTTACTTTTACTAAAATTTAAATTGACACATAATTTTCTGATGTAGCATACAAAATAAATCTCCATTTTAACAAATTATCGCAGCACATTGAAATACAAAAAGTACAATAAACATGAAGGCTAATAATAATAGGCGAATACAAAACAATTGAGATTTCTTGAAAAAAAATGTATAAAAATTGTCGACCGTCCATCGCATTGTTTCCGAACGATGCAGATAAAAAACAAAATGTAGATGATTTCTCTAAAAATGCAGTTTGTCGTAGTTGTCAAAACTGTTCTAGATGCTATTATAGTGCGATTACCAGTAGAATTTATATCAAGAAAGATTGTAGCGAATATTCTAGAATAAATCCCGAGGCGCCATGAAAGAAGAAGAATCGGCGAATAAGAGCGAAGACAGATATGAGGCAGTCTTTCCGAGCATTACGACGTGTTTGTTCGAGGACATTCTAGAATACTCGAAAGCCTTCGAGAAAGAGCGGCGTTTGCTATGTAAGCAAATCGAATTGCGTTTCGGTCAGTTCCAATTTAAACGCCGAAGTAATGAATTGTTCGCGCTTATAATTACTGTTATAAATTAATCCATTTTAAGACATATTAATTAATTGATTAAATAGTTCATTGTGAATAAATAAGTTACGTACTTAGATTTACGTTCCAATTTTCGGCACTCGCTAATGCCTATCAGTACAGTACCTATTAACTTTCGCAATTCTGAAATGTATAAAAAATCGATTAAGGCACAAATTGTGTAACAACAATTTAGAAGCATTTATGTTGTTGGTAAATAATTACCTATCAACAATCAGTGTTAGAAAAAGGGAGTCGGCCTGTGTGGTGCAGTGGCGTGGAAGCTCGACTGGGGCATTTTGTCCGTCTGTCCGGGAACACGATAACTGTCAAATGCTAGGACCGATTCGGTTCAAACTTTACACAGTTGCCTCATGTAACAACCTATTGAAAATGGGTCAAATCCAATGACCCCGTAGGGTCACACCGAGGTGCTCTGCTATTTTTTAGATCTGCTTTAGGGGCTTATTAACAAATATGTATTGGTTATTCTTGATACAACACCGTGCATGGTATGAAACTTAAACTGCAACCGTCACATATCAAATTTATTCAGTCGTATACGAGGTATGTACAGGGTCCGGCAGTGAAAAGGGAATATTTAAAAAAATTATTAGTCTTAATTATTAATATTTATTAAACTTTTTTACACAAATGTAATCTAAATAAATGAGAATATATGAAAATGTTCATTTTTTGAAAACTATATCTGTAAGATGGCGTCCTTCGTTTCAAACACATTCTGGAAGTCTTTTGGTGAAGGATCCCATGACGCTGCGTAGCATATCTAATGGAGTGTTGTTGATCTCCTGTTGGATTTGCTCCTTCAGTTCGTCCCTAGTTCTGGGTGGGTTTGATTCAAAAACCTTGAGCTTTAAATAACACCACAAAAATAACTGAATACAATACAAATTTTCTCAAATTAACAAATGAAAAATTTATGTAGGTGATAGGGTAGGTAGAACATACCTTGGAAGAAAGATAAATACGAATAATCTTGGCTTTCCTCGAATCTCCTCCCATCCAATCCCAATTCTGTACCAGAATATTGTGACCGACGCTTAGGTCACGGAAAACTCCTACCATTCCATGGTATAATAAAAAATACCATTCGCATCCTTATTTCAAGAGTGAGAACTATATTTTCGTATATTTCAGTCTTCCTACGGGAGATGTAAAATCGGTTCGTAATTCACCGTGTTAAAAGAATTACATTTTTCAATTGTTTCTCTAGTATTGTTTCCCTCACAGAAAAAAGTTCGTTGTCGTTATTGTCCCGCTTGTTAGCACGATAACTTAAAATTTAATGGGACAAATAGTGTACATTTTTGCAGGCGTATTACTTGCCGACTGCAAACCACACCTGGTACAATCGGCACTTGATGCGACACCACTGCCTTTGCTAGTTGAACGAAACTCGTAACTTTATTTACACCCATTATACCTACAATATCATAAACATTTAGAAAGTTAAAACATTATTTTGAAATTTTTTTATTATTTAGATGTGTAGGTTTCGAGCTTCATCTAAAAAAATGGAATATTAGATGCGGAGTGATGTCCGCGGATAAAGTGAACTTTTATTAATTCTACCTACCTATAGGCTATAGTAGTAGTTTTTAAATTGAGTTGTAGAGACGGACCTTTGGTCAAATTTGCAATAATTTGAAACTCCTTTCCCCCAAATTAGGATTAATTAGTGAAAGATAAACTTCAGGTACAAGGATCGTGTAAATTACTAGTATATTCAAATTTCGGAATTCTGCAACATTTCTAATTAGGCCCTCGAGAATTGGCTGGAAAGTACAAACGAACTCCAACATTTTTGGCAACTATCTTGAAGGATTACTAAAATAAATTTCGAGGAACTGCTGAAATCTCAGATTCAAAATGTAATCGTTCGACGATAGAGTCAGCGTAAGCTTAAAATTAGGATGAGTTTATCTTTCAACCGACGGATTTGGAGATAAAGTTTATTTACGAAACTAACGCGTCATGAATATGCCATTTGTCACTTTCATAGTATTACTGTGAAAGCTTCGGTTAATAGTTTCATAATTAGGACGTGTATCTACATTTATCATCCTCCTTATATCTTATTTCCATCTCTTAGTAGGAATCGTTCGTTTCTAATATTAATTTCAGGATTTAATTTAATCTTTGTTCTGAAGTTATTCTTTAGCGAAAATGAAATTAAACAATAAATAGCGTCATTAGTTAAAAAATTTCTCGCAATGCAAGGTTCAGCTCTGTAAACACCAAACATAAAGCTAATTAAATTCAATGATATACGTACCTATACAAAAAAGCTCCGAATATTCCGTGGTCCGGTGATCATATTTTGTAGTAGAGGACGCACATTTATATGAAATGGTAATCAATGAGAACAAGGGATTACTCATCGGACGTTTAGATATTATTTCAAAGTTGATATACATTGACCCAATATGTGCAGTAGATGGTAGCAAGTTATATTCCTAAAATTGAAATTCCAATTTTATGTCAGTATGAAGAATGTAATTTTGCTAGACATATATTTAAAGATTATGAAACGATACGAACCTTTTTCGTGTTTGTCAATTTTAATTAGTCAACACATTGTTTTGTTACAGGTACGTAAACACGCAGGAATTGCTTGTTCGGTCATCTCATCTATTTGGTAAGCGATTCTTAATATAGTTATCGGGTATTTGTTTTGCGTCCATACATGTAAAGTTCATTTTAGAAATGATCTCTGATGCTTGATCGCAATTCCATGCCGCATCACGTGCAAACACTTTTTAATTAAAATTTAATCGTTCCCTCAGGAATCAAATAGGAAACGTTTGCGGTTTTCAAAATATTGTAGGGCACCAGAAACCCATCAATAGTCCATATGATATGTTTGTGTTCGATATGTTTATAAAATGGCTTTATCTTGTGGGTTCCGACAACCCTTAAATACATTAAGGGTTACTGGATTTATCCTCTACAAAAAGTATAAATCCGCTTTAGGATACGTAATTTTGAATTTAATTGTACTATTTCAGACCATGCTTTTGTATTTGTATGTCTTGACTATCCGTCCCCTGAAAATAAGCCTAAATATATAACGTTCAGAGACTTCAAGAACATGAACATGGCTGATTTTGAACGAGCTGCTTTGTAAGTTGACTGGGCATACTGTCACGCCCTTGGGGATATTGACTCTAAAGTAGAATACTTCAATTTGTGTGTCACTGAGTTATTTGATGTATTTGCTCCATTTAGAACTGCTTTAATAACTAAAAAACGGTGCCCTTGGATCACCGATGTAATTCGTGTAATGATGTCGTTACGGGATAAAGCCCTAAAGGAATACAAAGCTAGCATAAAAGATATTAACGCCAATCTTCAATTATCTAATCGTAAATGGATCGCTTATAAGTCCATAAGAAATTTTGTTACTGCTTCTATAAGGAGGGAAAAGAGAGCTTACATGGAGCATGTGTTAAAGGTAAATGTGGACAACCCCAAAAAGTTTTGGTCAAATTTGAAAACGTTAAGCGTTCACAGTAACGATCCGGTTGACACTATACCAATTTATTTAAGAAACGCGGAAGATTTAAATAAATATTTTATTAATTCCATTAAAGCTATTCCTCCCAACTATACAACCATGAATGAATTTTCCGCGTCAGTTCATCCAAATGTAAAAAACCCATTTAGTGTTGTGTGTGTATCCAAGGACGATGTAGAACGCATCGCGTATTCCATTAAATCTAACTCCCCTGGAACTGATAATATAAACACGTATATGATACGGTTATGCTTGCCTTTTTGCTTAGACGCACTAACTCATATAAATTTTTCTTTTTCAACAAATACTTTTCCTTCGATCTGGAAGCAAGCTAAAATACGTCCAATTCCTAAAGTAGAAGCACCCCAAACATTTTCTGATTTTCGACTAATAAGCATCTTGCCAATGCTATCAAAGATTATTGAGCGTGTTGCACTGAGGCAGTTGCAAAGTTATCTTTTGCAAAATGATCTTTTACCAGGGAGACAATCAGGATTTCGCAAAGGTTTCAGCACCTCGTGTTTGCTAGATCTTACGGATGATATTCTTAGAGCGATGGATGAAGGAAAAATAACGTTACTTCTGATGTTGGACTATTCGAAGGCTTTTGATGGACTAAACCATAAAGTGCTGTTGTCTAAGCTATCATCTGGGTAGTAGTGAATCCGCGTTAGCGTGGTTTGAAAATTACCTAACCGGTCGATGTCAGTACGTTGCGTTGCAAGAGAAGTGCGGAGAAAGTATGTCGTCTTCCATGTAAGTATTTACTGGAGTACCGCAAGGGTTAATTTTAGGGCCACTTCTTTTCTCCCTGTTTACTTTCGACTTCAGTAGATGTGTACACCACGGTCGGTACCACAGTTATGCAGACGATAATCAAATTTATTATTCGTTTTATCCAGATCAGTTTTCAAATACAACTACCTTAATTAATGAAGATCTGCATCGCATATCCGAATGGTCAAGTAACAACTCTCTTATTCTAAATCCATCTAAAACTGTAGGAATGTTAATCGGTAAGAAACATTTGCTTGGGGGAATTAATTCTTCACTAACCGATGTAAATATTGATAGCAACGTAATAAACTTTAAAACCGTTCACAAAAGCTTGGGTCTGATACTGGACGAAAATCTTACCTTACCCCGCATGTAAGTAAGTTGATACAATTCGTGTATGGTCGGCTTCGGTGTCTTTATAAATATAAAAATATTCTTTCACTTTCTGTCAAACGTAAACTTGTTAATTCCCTTGTGTTGTCCCTATTTGATTATTGTGATGTTGTGTAAGGTTCTTGCTTAAAAAATTCAGACTCGTATAGAATCCAAAAAGTTCAAAACGCATGCGTACGTTATGTAAGTAACGTAAATAGGCAAGAACATATCACACCCCATCTCAAGCAATTGAATTTTTACCGAATGAACGATAGGAGGACTATACACTATTTGTGTTTAATTCACAAAATTATAAAATTTGGCGTGCCCCCATACTTACAGTCCAAAATACGTTTTCGGAAAGATTTACATGATCGTCAACTTAGAAATACAAACGATATTCAAATACCTGCACGTCGATTGCAAAGCTACAAATCTTCGTTTACCTACATGTCTGCATTTTTGTACAATAAGCTGCCTGATGAATACAAATCATTGAATAGCTATCAATTTAGGCGCAAAGTAAAAATTATGATTTACAATGAATAATAATTAGACCTATAGCAAGTTTCTGTTACCTAATCTTTCTATATGTTTCCTTCTATATACTTCTTTGAGATATGTACACACGTGGAGAAATTTTGTCATTTGTCAATCTGTCTTCGTCTAAGATTTCATTTATTTTCTTTTCATGTAGTCTCGTACAACTCAAGTTATTGAAATAGTATACCTTTTTTTAATTTTTGTTATTTTCAATCAGTATTTTGTAATTGTAAATTGTAATTCTGCTGGTTGGGAAAAACAGCTTACAACTGGTCTCCGCCAGGATAATAAAGTATTATTATTATTATTATTATTCTCATTCTTTTAATTTAATATTTAATGGACACTTTTTAATTGGCTTAGTACAATTCTGAATTACATGCTAAAGCACATAATTATACCCACCTACGCTTCTTAAATTACCATTCTAGCACAAACACTTGTGAGTTTTTTCCGATGTTTAGTATGGGGATCTCGTAAACCGTAAGAGATGCAAAGTCGCTTAAAGGGCAAAGAGTTGCAGAATTTTATGTAGATTAAGTTTCCCTTTCAGAGTTTCTTGTAACTATACAAACAATGAAGTTATGGTCAAAACCATAACCATAACAAGTATCATCAAAGTTTACATGGTTTTCTTTTTCTCCTACGAGTTGTTCTATCCATAAATTTGTGCCACTGTTACTTAAGGGTAACACAAAAGGGAGGGGGGGGGGGAAATTCCAACAATTCCAGA